TCTGCTGTTTTAACTAGCCTTCCCAGAACACTTAGCACTTTTGTTTTTACTTCACTAATTGTAATTTGGTCACATGCCACAAAGAAATGCATTCTTTTCACTTGATATATTGCCATCCTATTAAAAGTTCTGTTCAAAGGATAGAGATTACTGGCAACTGGTAATCTCTACCACATGGAAATATCGGCAAAAATGAGAAAGCACTAAAACAATTAATTTTGAAATTTGAAAAGGCCTTTTTTTGAGAAAGAAATATTTAATTGAGGGTTTGAAGGATAAATAGAAGCTTTCCAAGTAAAGAACTGATCAAAACAACTTTGGATGGAAATAATAGAAAGCACAGAGGGATCGGCATTATGTCTGCCAATTCATCTCATTTCTGTATTCTTAGGGGGTTTTGTTGTTGTTGTTAATAATAGGTATAAAAGTAACAGGCTAATTTTCATTAATCTAATGATTATTCAAGATCAACAGACTAAGATATATCAAGAATGATTATCCTGATGTAATTGAAAACAATTTTCTACTCAGCCAAAAAAAAATAACATTTCATCTGATAATAAAGTATTCCACATTTTTTAAATAATTGAGTTAGAATATCTTGGCTTCTTAAAGACAAATTAATACAGAGAAAAGAAAAAACACAATGTGTCAAGGAGATGTTTGTTTTTAAAACACTGAAGTTAAACAACACCCACTTAGAACTGAATTGGTTCATATTCTGGGGTCCATAAATCCACATTGAAAATAGGAAGATTAAGGTCTGGCCAAGTTAGCTTCAAAGTATGTCACCTCTTATTTAGCTGTTTCTAATCTGAATGTTACTTTGGATCGGTGAAGCAGGGTTGTTCTTTTCTGAAAATGGTTTTGGAACCATAAGAAATCTTTAGGATTAGAAAAGCTCCTGATTATCTCCTCAGGATCTGTTAGAGACATCAGCATCTATTAAAATGTTCCCAGAAAAACTTAAATCCTTTGAGAAAACCTGGAATTCCTATCGTTTAAGGAGTGAATCTAGTTAGGTTTGAAAGAATCCATTCCCCCTGCTTATCTGGTCCTTCCACATAGCTGAAAATCTTGTAAAAATTAAACCCATCTCTCTTCAATCCCAAACAACAAAACACGAGACTCAGTAATTTTTTGAATATTGCCTAAATTAAGACTGCCATGGGAGGAGTTGGGGAGGTGGGGAGGGAAGGGATGGTAGGGGAAAAACAAAGGAGGGGGCAACAATGCTAGATAGGAAATGTACTCATTACCTTACTCATGTAACTGCAACCCCTCTCTACACTATCTTTACAATATAAAATATATATTAAAAATACTGCCATACTTTCTCTACTGAAGCAATCCAATAAGTTAGTTTGATCATACTGTTTTTTTAGTTTTGCCAACTTTGTTTATTTTCAATTCTTCGCTATTAATCTAGGAAATGCACAATAACAGCACCTCCCTTCAGCTTTTAACTTCAACTTCTCATTCATTTTTTTTAGCTCCGAAGACTTCTTTCATCAAGTCTTCTTTGGACTCTAAACAAATTCTCCATACTTTACCACTGTATGCCTTTTGTATGTGATGGTTGTGTACTATATCCCTTACCCACTAGACTGTAAGTGATGTGAAAGTGAAATCGTATATGCTTGAATTCTCCACTGAATTTTACTTGTAGTTCAGAGGCTGGCCCATAGCAGGTATTTAAGAAATGGTGTTTAAATAATTAAGTGAATGTTTTTAAAATAGACATTTCTTCAATCACATTTCACACTATACTATGAATGTATCAATACAGAACTGTGATCAGCTCATGGGTGGGTCCAATGACAGATAAAAAACAATTTGAATAATTTGACTATACTTACATAGAAACATATGCAAGAAGTCTTTAGATAACTGATGCTTGTGTATGCATAGATAAAATTCACTGAATCTGACAGGATGGCCTTGTTGCAGATTGAAGTGATCTGCTGCTGACCAAGCTCATGAGAAACCTATCCTGCCTTTGCTATCCACTTCAGACCTCAGTGCCGTGTTTTACTGGCATTTGTGCATTCCAAAGACATGTAGAGGGCCTGAAGATGTAGCTCAAGTGGGAGATTATGCTTGCTTGCTGAACATGTGCATGGACTGGTTCAATCCAGAGTACAAGAAAAAAGGCACAAGTGTTGAAGGAGTCATTGCTTAATCACATATTTTTAGAAATGCTTGGGGGTTGGAGGTCTGGTTCAGGTGGTAAAGTACCAACCAATAAGCAAAAGTATCAGATACTGAGTTTAAGTCCTGGTCTAGACCAAACATAATCACATTTTACTGAAAATAATACACATTACTACACAGTTTTTGCTTAGTTAGATTTTTGTTTTATATTGTTTGCTCTATCATATTAAGTTCATTGGTCCAATGTTAATCAGTATAAAAGCCTAGATGAAAAGGTTATTAATGCCCCTGATGATGACAGTGATGCTAAGGATAGTCCAGTGGGTCAAAATAAAAGAATAAATGAATAGATTAGTAACTATTCACAGGTATCTTTCTATTCCTAAATAATTACACTTTACCCAACACCACCTATTACTTCAAATTCACACATTTAATTAAATTTTTATCATTTTTGTGATTTTTGTCTTTTTCAATTTGTAAATTAGGCTTTGGTTCCAACATGAAAAGATTATACTTTGTTTTATATCCTCACTTACCTGAAGAATACCAGAAAAATACCATTTAAGTCAACACTAGAAAAGTTTGAAAAGTTTTTCTCCATAAATGAGATTTCAAAATTTCTCATTATTGAGAAATGCTGCTAAATAAAAATAGAAGAAAATCAAAGTGCTGTCATGGCACAAAAAATTATAAAACCTATTCCTAGCTATCTGTTTAATTCACTTCTACCCATTTCCCAAAGTAGACCACACACGATTCTCTTTACCATGTGTCTATCCCCTCATTATTCAGTTCCTGAATAGCAAAATTCCAGCAAATCTCACAAACTTCTTGAATAATTTGTTGCTATTCTATTCCTCAGCCCTCTTTTACACATTCTGTACTCTGTACTACAGAGTATACATATAGCATCAAAGTTTAATAATTATACATTTTAATTTTATTTTTATTATATCTAAGTATTTGTTCAAAGGGGTTTCAATCCAATATGTCAATTTATGCTAATTTTTGCATAAGTCTGTTTACACTACTTATGAAAAGTATAAAAAGGAAAAATTGCCAGGCTCCGGTGGTTTATGCCTGTAATCCTAGCTACTAAGGAGGCTGAGATCTGAGGATCACGGTTCAAAGCCAGCCCGAGCAGGAAAGTCCATGAAACTCTTATCTCCAATAAACCACCCGTAAGTGGCACTGTAGCTCAAGTGGTAGAGTGCTAGTCTTGATTTGAAGAGTTGAGGGACAGTGCTCAGGCCCAGAGTTCAAGCCCCATGACTGACAAAAAAAAAAAAAAAAGGAAAAATGAAGCCTCAAAAAAAAGGCCAGATTTTTTTAAACAAAACAAATTATGTGGACTTTTTTGGAGCTATTCCTCGTGAAATATCTCTCCAGTTTTCATTTTATTTTGTCAGAAACAGCCATTGAAATAGTTTGGAAGTAGAAAAAATCCTCTGTTGTGAGCTCAAACTAGAACGATAAGATGTACAAGCTGGTATAGTTTGTCTTTAACTGTTTTTTTCTTATTGAAACATTGATGGGAGAAGTAAAACTAAAAGTGAGTTTGCTTACTTACTTTGTAAAGGTTTGTAGTTTTGTTGAGCCTGATTTGGACTAAATATAAATATTTGCTAGAAGTATTTAGAACTTAGCTAATTACTAGCTAAACAGCCTTGGGCAAGATTCATGACCTCAACTATAAAATGAGGATATCCTACATGATTGTTTCTAGAATTCATGAGATATTTGTTGGATCTAGTATAGGACAGAGCCAGAAAATGGCAGAATCTTTGTATTGAACATCTCTGCTGTCTTCCATGCCAGCCCTCTACTTCTCTCTCTATATATAAATATAAAATACATATATAATGTATATGCATATATACATATGTATGACTCCACACACATACACACATGCATACACATGCATTGTTTCTTTTAGCTGAACTGCTAGCTAGAAAAGCCTAGTGATATCTCTGTTTTCATACAGCAAAAATCTGTTAATCTACAGTTGACTACACACTGATGTTTGGAATACATTAATGAACCCAACATACAAAACACCAAATCTTGTGCAGTTTTCAGTTTAAAAAACACAATAGAAGATAAGATTATTCATTAAATCTTTTCTGTTCCAGTGACCCCATGGCTGCAATTTCTGTCATTTGAATGAATCATAATTCTAGACTGTGGGAATTATTATTTTTTTATTATGAAGGTGATTTACAGAGGGGTTACAGTTACATAAGTCAATAATGAGTACGTTTCTTTTTTTGGGGGGGGGGTTCCAGTCGTGGGGATTGAACTCTGGGCCTGGGCACTGTCCCTCAGCTCTTCAGCTCAAGGCTAGTGCTCTACCACTTGATCCACAGCGCCACTTCCAGCTTTTTTCTTTTTGCTTATGTGGGGCTGAGGAATCGAACCCAGGGCCTCATGCATGCAAGGCAAGCACTCTACCACTGAGCCACCTTCCCAGCCCCAATGAGTACATTTCTTTTTGAACAGGTCACCCCTCCCTCCTTTTCTTGGGAATTATTTTTTTATTAAAGTTTTAACAGCAGTATTTTAAGATCTCTCCCTAACTGTCTTCCCATCTTTCCTTATTTCCTTTCTCCCCATTTTCTCTTCTTTTTATTTGTTTAATTCAACTATAAAGATACTTTTACCTATACCACCTTTTTTTCCCACTTAGCTAGGTTCAAATTCCAATTTAACTCTGTCCCCTTCATAAGAAGTACATTTTATGCCCCATGGGTATGAGGGGAAGGGTCATTTGGTGTTATTGGCCGTATCATGGATCCTGCCTTGTTAGGAACCCAGTTGAATCACACACCTCTCTTTCTTGTTAGATCGTTGGCTGCGACCATCAGCTGGGAAGCACCGCCAAGGAGGATAACTGTGGTGTCTGCAACGGAGATGGGTCCACCTGTCGGCTGGTTCGAGGGCAGTATAAATCCCAACTCTCTGCAACTAAATGTAAGACCCGACAGACATGGGGCAGACTTTGGGCTTGCACACTCGTTCTGCTTCCCTAGCTTAGCTTTGGCTCCTCCCACTAACTAGGGAATGAAACATCTACCCAAGTGGAGAGGGATCCAGAAATGTTGTAGAAAACTTTGTGTTCCTGCTTTATGGACTAGTCTATGAATGACAAGCCAGGCTTCCAGTTGTAACCCCCCCAAAAGGGAAATTTTCCTTCTGAGGCATAATAAAGTATAAACCAGAAGTGAGGCTAGAGCCCCTCAGCAGTAATAGGAGTGTAGTCTGGGGAGAGTCTGGCCTGATCATATTCGATTTGCCTGGTGAAACATAACCATAGGTTAAGATTGGCACAACCTCACTTTTGTTATGTGAAATCACCTCGTCTTCATTTACAAAATTAGGATAGGACAATGTATATGTGAAGAACTTTATTCATTGTTGTGTCTTGATCTCCTTATGCCAGCAAATAAATGTGTACTTAGTATGCATGTAGGAACTTTGCACAATTATCTCACTTAATCTTTCTATAGCAACTTCATAAACAAGGTATCATTAACTTCCTATCATAGAGGAGATGACCAAGCCCTGCTCAGATAATATGACTTGCTCAGTCACACAGCTATAAAGCAAAGAGCTAAGATTTGAGCCCGGAGTCTTATGCAGAGCCTCAACTCTTACCCATCCCCTTGAACTATCTCATAATGCTGCTGACTGTCTCTAGGGTGGGAAATTATAAAGCAAATTTATGGATCAAGCCAAAGGTCCTCAAAGGTCAACCAGTTGTCTTGCTAGGCCAGATAGTGTAAATTCCATATCATGTAAGTCCATAATCGAGTCACACATTCATCCAACTTACTTTATAATACAGTATCCTTTGTAATGACCTGTTCTAGGAATTTTAGCAGGTACAGACGGAAGTAAGACAGCCTCTGTAGTTGGGACATGGATTTTTTTTTTTACTTCATTTGGCTTCTTGTCTCCAGATTTTGCCATTATGCAAAATCTTTCCAGAGATCCAACCTGATGATTCAATATCTCTGCCCATATATCTCCTCTAGCCTGGGAAATGGAGTCAAATAACTTATGGTGTGTGGTTTTTGTGTTTTACTTGTTGACTGGTTGGAAGGAGACAATTGACAGCTAGCAGGCTTGTGGCTTTAGATGGACTGAGAGGTCAAGAGGAAAGACAGATGCAGTTAGTCCATTGGGCACTGGAGAAGTACTCAAAAGGGTGGGCTCTAGGGAAGAGTGGACATAAAGAAAGGCCAGGGACTTTGAAGTTCATGAAAAATTAGAGATGCCAGCTTAGGGAGCTCTCTACTTCTTAACTCCCCTGGAGGCAATGGAAAAAAAAATGTGACTGTAAAAAAGTTAAATTTTACATAGACTTTGGCAGACAGAATGAAGAGTGAGGTAACTTAAACATGGATATGGTGCATTCAGGCAAAATTTTTCTTTGGTCCTGTGTTGCTGGTACCTTATTTTTATATGACAGAAATTAAAGAATGTAAAAGATGGAAACCAGACATGGGTAGAGGCATCATTATTTCTTATATCTCTGAAATTAGAGGTGCAGACTTGAAAAGTTACATCTCAAAGGTTTCTCTTACAGAGCGCTTTAAAAAAATGTTGAAAGAATTAAAACCTCCTGAATTAATTCGTCACATAATTGAGTTGGAGCTCATCATGTAGAAATATGGGTTGGGCCATTAGGCACAAAGGAAAGCCCATGTTTTTGTGCTGCTACTGCTGTGTGGTGAATTCTGAGAGCATCTTTTAATGGTGAGGGTCTTCCTTTAGTCTCATGCCCACCACCCCTTCCACCTTCCTGCTTTTATAGAGGAGCTCCCATGGCTATTCCTCTTACCCTCCAAAGGGCAGGGCGGGGGGGGGGGGCTGACCTTTGGGGCCTTGCCTCTGGAACAACAGTGAAGCCCTGAAGGAACAAACTAAAGCAAACTGAGAGCCACGTGTCATCTCTGGGTCTGTAATGAGTAGAGCTCTACTCAAGACTGACAGTGGGCAAATTATATAATAATACACAGTTTGTTGATTATTCATAATGACAAAATGCAATTGATTCATTTACCTTAGCACTGATGATGCCTCATGACAAAATGATTTATATCAATAAAGCCCAACAGATGCCTGCACCTCACCACAATCTATAGCAGATGCTGAGCAAACTGCCTCACATAGGCTCGCCCTACCCAGAAGAATCTTCCACACTGTATTCACGGAGTACAAGGCAGCCCACAAGCAGGGAAGTGTAGGCTGCTCTGCGGGGTCCAGTGTGCTGGCCAGGTGAGCCCTGCTGCTCCCCTGCAGTTCTGGGAAAGTACTGCCAGGTCTCCCCTCACATTGTGCCAAAAGTAACCATGAGTCAGCCATGTGCTCTTCTCCAAATTCTAGCACTAGGGTTTCCCACATTGAACTCATTTTCTTTCTAAATTTATATCCAAGGTGTTTTTCTTTTCTCTTATGTTATCAATACTTAAGGGAGTAAAGAAAAAAAAAGCAGAAAAGTGAAGAAAGAACATAGTAGAAACTGCCAGAAGGAAACAGAGAAGTAGAATAACCCCATAAATTGGCTACCATTTGCTAGTGAATAAAAAAAATCATCTTTAAGAAAAGACATTATAGGAAAATGAACCCTTAGATATGTATTTTAATGTTTTTTTTCTTTCATGCATGTGTTTCTAATGCATTTATAAGATTATCTCTTTGTTGCTTTGTATG